ACCGTGATAAATTCAATCGTCTTGTCTTGCTTAAAGCCCGGCGCGACGACAATTTACATCGACGAAAGTGAAATGCGACGATTAAATTCGACATGTGTCCGTTCCGGTCCTCGGATCGAAGAAAATTGCATTGGATGTTTTAACTTGTTTGTGGTCATCGTAGCTTCGAAATCTGTGATCGCTTGATATTTCAATATTTCACGGAAAATTCTGATAAAAATTGTGATCAAAGTTTTCAAGTTGTGCGTTACTTTGTTTCGTGAAAAAGTATAATTGTGCAAACGAAAGTGAAATGTTCGGTTTAATCGTGTCGACGCAATTTTTAAGAAAGTTCTACGTAGTTATTAGATCTGGCGAATAGCTTAGGGTTTATTTAAACAAGATGCAGGGTTATTTTATATTTATATATTTTTATATTTATCTGTCGAACGCCGTGTTTGCTTCGCGACAAGTCGAGAATTTCAAATTAGCGAATTAACACGTCCGTGCCACGTGTACCATCGATGGTACACGCTTGCATGTTTACTTAGTGAACTGAACAAATTGTTTACAAGAAATTTAGAACCGAAGAATCAATTTCCACCGCAAGAATGGGCGTTGATAAGTTTTTGTTACGTTGTTATGTGTACGAGAATTAATAATTGCACGTAATACATCAAGTTTTAGTAAAATATCAAAGTGTGAAGATTCGAGTAAAAAAAGCTCGGCACGGAACGTGTTAAACGAGCAAATATGCCGAAACGTAGTTGAAAATTCTGATATTCGCATTGATGTCTGTAAATGGCCGGACATTAATAGTATGGCCATGGTGGTCATGGTGGTCATATATGGTCATACAATATCAATCTTCATATACACGGTGTCCCAGATTTTAATGTTCAAACTTTGTTAGTGTATTCTATGGCACAAAGTAAGAAAAAAATGTTATGTAAACATAGGTCGTATAGAGCTTTATTAAGAAGTTATAACAAAAATTCAGAATAGGAATAGTAATCGACTAAAAGAAAGATAAAAAATAAAAAAAAATCTTCGATCGATGTCAATCGTGTATTGTCAACAACGGTTATTAATACATTTCGAAATGTATTAATAACCGTTGTTGACAATACACGATTGACATCGATCGAAGATTTTTTTTTATTTTTTATCTTTCTTTTAGTCGATTACTATTCCTATTCTGAATTTTTGTTATAACTTCTTAATAAAGCTCTATACGACCTATGTTTACATAACATTTTTTTCTTACTTTGTGCCATAGAATATACCGACAAAGTTTGAACATTGAAGCCTGGGACACCCTGTATAATATCATATAATGATCATAGATGATACTTAATAATTGAATAGAAAAGCCAATAAAGTAGCCAATAAAATAGCTTGTTTCGTATTTTAAAAAAAACTTCCTATAATCTATTTTGAACAACCCTGTATAATTACTGTAAGTCTGTTAATGAATTCTCAATGATCGTGCTCTATCAGAGAAGCAATTGTTTATCGAAAGAAATTATTAAAATTCGATGCAATAGGATTTATTAAAAAGTCTTGCGTTGTAAATATCTGAATATTATAGAACAAGTGCCAGTTATTTAAAGTTCTCTTCGTGCATTTATCAGGAGCATACGTCGGACATGCACGGACAATGAAAAACGCGAATCACCGGCAACTGAAAATATCCTTGGTTAATAATGTCGCGAACGTTTCACGTTGACAGCGGCGTTTTCTCAAATTTCCGCGGTTCCGAATGAATCTTTTACCGCATTGTTCCTCGCCGCATATAGTTTCAGCGTGCCAGGTCGAACTTCGTGATCGATACCTCGCTGAAAACAGTTGCCAAACTTGTCGGCAATGTAACGCCAGATAGGTTTAATGCTCGACGAATGGTTCTATTTAGCGAGCAGACGAGATACCGATATAAGTGCATATACACGTACGTTCTTTCGGTGCACGAAGCTGTTCGAAGCTGATCGACGATCCACGCGCATGGTTTTCATTCAGTACTTTCACTAACAACGTAGCAACAAAATTATGAAAGAAATAATCGCAAAACGTACCTTCGTCTTTTCAGATATTCGAATCAAAGGAATACAAATTACGAAGACTTTGAGATTATTTCATTATGTATTAGTTAAAATTGAATTAATATGATTTAGCTGACGACTGGATTGTTGATTAATTGACATTCGTATATTACAATGAATCGAATTTGGTGTTAGAATCATGTATGTCATGGTTCTAACGAAAATAACAAATTTTGTAAATTTTGTGAATTTTATTATGCCTTCTCTTCTGATACGTTTATGTTTTCAGGTAAACAAATGGGAAAATATATTGTTAAAATTTGCCGAATTTTTGCTGACTTGTTAATAATTTTGTTGCAATATTTAAAGCATCGAGTACAGGTGAATTTTTGCACCTAAAAGAAGAAACGTTATTGAATCTATTAAAATATATTTTTTAATAAAAATTTTAAAAATTTTAAAGTGAAGTGAAATTTTTTAAATTGAAAGATGCGATTGTTGCAAGATCGTATACTTCGTACGAGAAGAAATTAGATTAAGCAATATTCAATGTTTGCTGTTCGTTCGTTATGGAAATTTAGTTTTCATTAGGCGTGTATGCGAATGAAGAAAGTGGAACATCAACAACATCATCAATAATCGCATCAATAATTACATACTATATCCGATGGAAATCTTTGCTTTCTTCGTGTACGTTTACTAAGAAATACTGCAACTCTGGCAAGCAAGAGCACACATTTCGAAATCAGAGATCGCGAAGACATAATTCATTTCTAACCAACATTCATCACCGTTCACCAGTTAACAAAGATTTGTTGCTCTTGATTAAATTACGAAACGCGAAGCAATATCTTTCGTCGTTTTAAATATTATAAACGAGCAAATATTATCAAAGGCCTGGTAAAATATTAATTTATGCAACGACGCGAACGGAAATGATTTTTGTGGAAAAATATATCTTAGAATTTTGTTTTGCTTGTTTTCGTGAATTTTTCAAATACCTATAATATAGTATATACTGTATATATATATTATATACTATATTATACTATATTATATACTATATTATACTATATTATATACTATATTATACTATATTATACTATATTATTATACTATATTATACTATATTATTATACTATATTATACTATATTATACTATATTATTATACTATATTATACTACTATACTATATTATACTATATTATTATACTATATTATATATATATATAAGTATATATTAGTATAATATAGTATATACTATATTATACTACACTTATACTATACTACTATATTATATTACATATATAAGTATATATTAGTATAATATAGTATATACTATATTATACTACACTTATACTATACTACTATATGATATTACATATATAAGTATATATTAGTATAATATATAGTAGTAGTATAATATAGTATATATAATATAGTATAATTCGTCGATTAGTAAACATTAATTGATGCAATCATCGCCGGCAATCGTTATTCCATCGCTTCCTATTCCCCTGCTAATTAAAAAGCAATCAAAAGGCCTAAAACAATAATGAACTGAATTTCGATACCCATGGGTAAGACCTAATTGTTACTTAGGCTAGCCACTGCTTTCTGGAGAGTACTATTAAAGTTAGATAGCTGTCGACGAACAATATCTTCGCGAACAGAGGGGAACACGGTTCAAGGTTGCCCAACAGCCTTGAACGTAATACGTGTAATTAACTCGATGTGCGTCAACAACTTTCAACAGATTTTTCATATCTACGGCTGTTGCGACGATGTCAGAAAATTTACGAACGTTGCTTGCAAATAACAGTTGAGATTTCAATGATTCTCTGAGATCGTTAAAAATTAATTTAACCGAGAAACTTAAAATCTGGTTAAACATCCGATTTCAGTTCTAGGAAACGATTATGCGATTTTAGTCGAATATTTTTCTGTCATGGCTGTTACTTTCTCGATTCTACATTTTTTGTTATTTTATTATTATTATTATTAAATTATTATTACTTTATTCTATTATTATTAAATTATTATCGAGCAGCAGATTAGTATACCAGGCGATTCTATAAGAATGGCACTTGAATGTTTCTGTTATTCTTGTAAATATGAAGAAACTTTATTAAAAGAAGTATTTTAATATAGCTATTTTTTTTTTAATATAGCTAATTAATATAGCTATTTTTTATATTATAATATAATTAATAATATAGCTAATTTAATATAGCTATATATATATAACTCTATAATATGACGGTAATAATTTTCTTGCAGCTGGAAAATTTTCGTAGATTTTAAGGTCGTCTTCGCTTTTTTAAATGGAATCATATATTCTTATACAGGGTGGGTCTTGTACACCTGAATAACTCGTTTGTTTTTGACAACAGAAGAAAAAGCGTCAAACAATAGTTGTTTGATTTCAAAGGGTTCACTATATAATGTTAATAATTTTTGTATATGTGGAGGCCTAGAGGACATATGAAGGTCAAACTTGTTTCTTTTAATGGGATGACCTATTTTTTTATTCACATTCCGATAAAGCCTTTCAAGACGTGTACAGTGGCCTATAAATGAAGGTCATTCAAGGTCACAAATATGAACTACAATGGAAAACTTGGCCATTTGCTTTTTATATAGTTAGAATGCTTGCTTGTTACAATTAGTCACGAACTCCTTTGCTAAAATGACAACTTAAAGTGTCATGCTAGGAAAATAAAATCGTTCGAATCTTTATATCTTGAAAGAAAATTGCTTTATGGATTATATTCGTTTTTTCGTGCCAATTCTATATAAAATTCTATATGAAATATATAAGAATTATATAGTATAATATATAATATATATATAATTAATATATATATATATATACATATATATGTACTATTATTAATTATATATATAATTATATAATATCCAAATTCTATATAAACAATGTTTAGGAAATATTCTTCTGCAAGAAATATTTAGACGCAAACGTTTCGGTGAACCACCATGTATATTTTAAGCATTCGCAACATTCCACATCTATGAGGACGTAAATATTACCAAGTATTTAGTATAAAAGTACAATATAATTAACAATAATTAATTACACACATTAAAACATAATATTCCTTAATATTCCTCCCTGTTTCTTCGCATCATTCGTAGGTCCTCGTTATCATCGAGCGAAAGCTTAGCTTAGATTTCACTGCAAAAATAGAACAAAAGAGCGGATATTAGAACTATTTCGAAACCGATATCGATTTAAAAAACGCGACCTCTCCAACAGCGATATGAAAACCAAATCAGAAACCGCAACCGAAACAGACGCAACGCAACGATTTTCGGCGTCGCTTGTTCAGCGTTAAAGGACTTCCCGCAAACTGTTTTAATCGAAACGTTTATACGCAACAGTTCCGAACAATTATTTTCGAAACAATTCCCAGCCCTTTAAAGCTCTCTCACTCTCTCCAGCGTTAAAGCGCATGGAAAAGACATCGGAGATGCGCACACGCGTCGCTGCAATTGATGCATCGCGCTCGCGCGCGACCTGTTTAAAGGAGCATAGCGACATAACTTTGGAACAGTAATAGAACAACTATAGCCCGGACAAATGCGGTCCGCGGACAATGTATTCGGTAATAACGCTCTTTACGGTGGACAGAATTACACGGGAGAATTAATAATCGATAATGTAATTTCGTTCATGCTCCATAATTCACTGCCGGTAAAACTCTCCGGGCTCCCTCCGACTCGATTGTTCTTCCGACTTTCCTTTACTTTACTTTACTTAGATGAAAAAGATATTACTGCAAAGGGGTGGCTCGCGAAGCCGGAGAGAGAAAGAAAACTTTAATAGTCTTTGAGATTCTTTTCGGATGTAATACGCCGAACGAAAACGGATATCGCGTGCGAAAAAAACAGGCGACGCGAATGTTACGGCCGGTGGAAAAAGGACGGCGAACAATTGTAATAAAATCCGATGGAACATTCTCATTGTAAAATTTTTAATTCGCACCGAGAATAAAATTTTGCTATTGTTCGAGCAAAAGTAAAATGTATCGCGGCCTTCCCGTTCGGTCTGCTTGAATCGACATGAATCCGATTAGCGGATCCCGCGAAACGTATCCGAAGTTGCGCCAACATTTTTATTCAACGCGTTCACCCACACTCGAAAAATATTGTTACACGAACGGTAATATTGTCACGCGGATATCTCGCTTCCGTCGAACCTGTCCATTCAAATTATCAAGTAATGTTGTGCCTTGAATATTATATTTATTGTGTACGCGTATTATATGTATACAGGGTGACGTCACGAATTAGCCACGATTTTTCAGCCCATTCCGACGGTCTCGCGAACAAAAATGTTTCCCATCGAAGTTAATTGGTGTTTAACCGACAAGATATTGCAATTGTTTTGTAATTTAATTCAAATTTAAAATCGAATTGATTTCGATAGAAAAATATGGTCACCGTTATATTTTTAAACGAAACAAGGTAATTTTCATTTCATTGTATCGTAGCCGACGTCACGAATTAGCCACGATTTTTCAGCCCCCTCCGACGGTCTCGCGAACAAAAATGTTTCCCATCGAAGTTAATTAGTATTTAACCGACAAGATATTACAATTGTTTAAATTTCAAAACGAATTGATTTTAGATTAAAACATAAGATCATTGTTATATTTTTAAACAAAACAAGGTAATTTTAATTACATTGTATCGTAGCCGACGTCACGAATTAGTCACGATTTTTCAGCCCATTCCGACGGTCTCGCGAACAAAAATGTTTCCCATCGAAGTTAATTGGTGTTTAACCGACAAGATATTGCAATTGTTTTGTAATTTAATTCAAATTTAAAATCGAATTGATTTCGATAGAAAAATATGGTCACCGTTATATTTTTAAACGAAACAAGGTAATTTTCATTTCATTGTATCGTAGCCGACGTCACGAATTAGCCACGATTTTTCAGCCCCCTCCGACGGTCTCGCGAACAAAAATGTTTCCCATCGAAGTTAATTAGTATTTAACCGACAAGATATTACAATTGTTTAAATTTCAAAACGAATTGATTTTAGATTAAAACATAAGATCATTGTTATATTTTTAAACAAAACAAGGTAATTTTAATTACATTGTATCGTAGCCGACGTCACGAATTAGTCACGATTTTTCAGCCCATTCCGACGGTCTCGCGAACAAAAATGTTTCCCATCGAAGTTAATTGGTGTTTAACCGACAAGATATTGAAATTGTTTCGTAATTTAATTCAAATTTAAAATCGAATTGATTTCGATAGAAAAATATGGTTACCGTTATATTTTTAAACGAAACAAGGTAATTTTCATTTCATTGTATCGTAGCCGACGTCACGAATTAGCCACGATTTTTCAGCCCCCTCCGACGGTCTCGCGAACAAAAATGTTTCCCATCGAAGTCAATTAGTGTTTAACCGACAAGATAATGCAATTGTTTTGTAATTTAATTAAAATTTAAATACGAATTGATTTCGATAGAAAAGTAGGGTCACCGTTATATTTTTAAACGGAACAAGGTAATTTTAATTCCACAGTATCGTAGCCGACATCGCGACGAATTCAAAGACCTGGGACACGATGACCTTCGGATGACATTGAAGGAAAAACTGCCATTAATCGATTGCCACAATGTTTGAAATAATTCGGCGACACCACTCAGTTGTGTCGATGGAACGAAAATTTTTCAAATTGAAGCTCTCGATTTAACCCTTTGCGCTCGAGTGGTGACTCCGAGACACCATTAAAATTGTCGTATCGCGTTCCAAGATCATTTTTATATCGACAAAGTTTAGATTTGAAAAACTGTTAAAAGTATAACTGTTACACGAGTCACCGTAAGATGCAATTTCATATGCATAAAATGCACTTTGTCGTATAAAATGGAAATACTGTAAGTCGGAGGAATTATTTTACATGTACAGTTAAAAATGGTTTCGAGTGCAAAGGGTTAATAACGAAGCACGCGCGTGGCATAAAAACGCGCATTAATAAAAAGACATTGTCTAAAGCGCGTCGTCTTTCGTATCATTTTAATTGTAAGAATCTGACCAATATATCAAAAAATAAAAAAAAACAGTTCATCGTGTATGAAAAATCAGAAATAGAAAAGTTATTAAAAGAAAAAGAATTATTGAAAGAAAAGAGAAGTCAAGATTGATTTTGTAAAGAGAAGAAACCGGTTGAACGCGGCATTAATAAAAAGACATTGTCTAAAGCGCGTCGTGTTTGGTATCATTTTAATTGCAAGAATTTGACCAATATATCAAAAAAAAGAAAAATAGTTCATCATGTATGAAAAATCAGAAATAAAAATGTTATTAAAAGAAAAAGGGTTATTGAAAGAAAAACGAAGTCAAGATTAATTTTGTAAAGAGAGGGGGCCGGTTGAACGTGGTATTAATAAAAAGACATTGTCTAAAGCGTGTCGTGTTTGGTATCATATTAATTGCAAGAATCTAACTAATATATAAAAAAAAACCAGTTCATCATGTATGAAAAATCAGAAATAAAAAAGTTATAAAAAGAAAAGGAATTATTGGAAGAAAAGAGAAGTCAAGATTGATTTTGTAAAGAGAGGGGGCCGGTTGAACGCGGCATTAATAAAAAAACATTGTCTAAAGCGCGTCGTCTTTGGTATCATTTTAATTGCAAGAATGTGACCACAATATATAAAAAAAAAACAGTTCATCGTGTATAAAAAATCAGAAATAAAAAAGTTATTAAAAGAAAAAAGAAGTCAAGATTGATTTTGTAAAAAGAAGAAACCGGTCGAACGCGTTTAGAATATTTGTCTCTATTATTCAATAATATCAAATAATATCTCGAATATTATTGGCACTATTAACAGAGCCAATAAAT